TTTTCAACCCCCATAACTGACTTTTAAAAGTATTTCTTGAGTGATCTATTTATTGAAGGGTAACGACAAGATACCTTCCCCACAATGTCAGCATGAAATGTTGACCCATCGACAAATGATGGTTGCTGAGTTCCATATGGCACCGGAAGTAGTGCTTCATTGTGCACAGGTCGGTGATTATTTTCTTTTACCCATTTTGGTTCTGTTCCTGAACCTGTGCGTGTCATGCGAAGCTTTTTTCGGGACAGTTCGATGACGGGGGAGCGGGGGGGGGGCATTTTGCGTTTCGCTACTTTTCATCGATGTGTACAGCCATCATTTGGAGAGCTAAATATTTCATGAGCTCACTCCAGCTCCACAAGAGTAGGTTTGACCAGAATGAGATTTAAATCAAAACTAGTGAAGCAGCTCGAATGCAAAATGCTCCCCCTCTGGTTGTCGGACAGTGAAGTTTTCCTTCCCTTTCTACATGCTCTAGATTAGTCACCTTGAACACCGAGATGAGCTTTCTGAAGTGCTTCAGTTTTCGGAGGCGCGGATGAGGTCCTTCAATTTTCAGCCGCCGTCCTTTCAGGGTTGGGGCTGGGTTTGGCACGGCGGCAGCCTGTTCGCATCAACTGTAGAAGGGACAAGCGACAACAACTGGTAGAGATTGGACTGCCGTGCCAAATCCGACCCCCTCCCCCACCCCCTTGACAGTATCGAGCATCTTCAGCGCACAGGGCTTTGGCTTCTCCCCGTTCCTCAGTTCCGAGGATCTACCCTTGAAGAGAGGAACCAAACAAAATTGTACATGTAACACTGTTCAACCTTACTATTGGAAATCTTGCATTGACATTCCCATTGACCTTTCAGATCGGCGACAACCTGAACAATATGTAATGTTCCTCCTTCCTTCCCTTTGAGCTATTTTGCTGATCATGGCGTAATTACGTTATTTGTGATTGCTACCGTATCCTTGTTATATAGTTGTGCTTTCCGCTTCAATTGTTTATTCAAGGAAATCGACAAGTGGTGTAGCCCAAGAGGTGATATTGAGCCAAAAGGACTGACTTTGCATTGCTTGATGGAGCATGCATCTGTGAGTTAACGAGACTTACTTGCGGCATTTTTATAGTTTTATTGTTGAATTATATTAGGTCGTTGCAAAAGAAATGCAGGATTTTGCTTGCTTGTATTTCATACTTATTTTATTCCAATAATATGTTACTTTAATATGAAGTGTTATATACTATTCGGAAGCTCATCTCATGCTCTTTCTAAATGATACTCCAAGATTGGTTGTAATTCATTTTATTATAATTTTTATTGACATTTTATTGCAGATGTCGAAACGTGAATTTCGCACTATTTTCTTCTATGAGTTCAAGCTAGGACGAAACGCTGCCGAGACAGCTCGAAACATTAACGAAGTTTGGGGTCAAGGAAGAAGTGTCAACGAATGTACGGTCCAACGTTGGTTCCAGAAGTTTCGTTCTGGCAACACCAGCCTTGAAGATGAACCTCATGTTTGGTGGTCTGCCGCCGGTCTCATAGCATGCAACAAGCTTCCTGAATCCCTGGTGAAACAATTACGGCAGAGAAGTACTGTCAACAAATCGACGAAATGCATCAGAAGCCTTAACGCATGTGCCCAAGGTTGGTCAATATGAAGGGACTCCACGATTCCGGACTCTTCTCCACGACAATGCCCGACCACACTTTGCACAATTTACCCTCCAGAAAATAAACGGATTGGGCTATGAACTTCTGCCTCATCCACCAGCATGACTTCACCAGACCTGTCGCCCACCGATCACCACTTTTTCAAGCATCTGGACAACTATCTTAGAGAGAAAGGCTTCAAAACCAAGACGATGTCAAAAACGCCTTCAACGATTTTGTGGGGGGCTTATAAAAGAATTACAACCAATCTTGAAGTATCATTTAGAAAGAGCATTAGATAAGCTTTCGAATGATATATAACACTTACATTTTATTGGAATAAAATAAGTATTAAATACAAAAAAAACGAAATCCTGCATTTCTTTTGCAACGACCTAATACAAAAGTCTTCATATTCAATTAATTCATTGTAAGGCTATCCGCGACAAGGACTAAGCAAGTTGGACCTCAGTGTATGCAGGCTCTAAAGGACGTTGTCAAGGTGAGATCAATTCGAGTCAGTGAAGCATTCTGTGCTCTAATGTGTTTTTGCTGTAGGTTGCCGATATTGGATCGAACTACAAAGTTGATAAGGTTTTGTATGGATCGTGCAGATCGCTTATCGATGGTTTGTCTTGGGCAATATTGGGTTTTTTTTAGATTTTCTTCAAATTTTTTGCTCATAAACTTTTCTATTGTTCTGCGTTTTTATTTTTCGTAACTGACGTGCGCGATGGTGGAGGTAAGTCGCTTCTGGCGCTGTTCAGCTCACAGTGACATTTTGCTTTTCAGCGTAATGTAAGTGCCTTTTTCCTTGTGAAGTTATACGTCGTTGTGAGGCTTGTAGACTCCTTCACACCCTTGTAGAGATCCGATTCTTTTATTTAACTGTAGTCACCGGATTTACTCAATTTTTTGGGCTTGTTCATCGCGCGTAGACCAGCCGCTTTCTAGCTTCGGAGATCAACTGTGTCTTAACGTCTGGGCAGGTTGGCAGCGTTAGGTATGGGAGTGAGAGTGAAGAACAGTGACAACAGGAAGCCGTTCCGGACTCCTACCGCGATGTCCTCAAGTTGCAGCACTAGCGGTGACACCAAGGTAGCACAGCGAGCGCGCAGCAGTCAGAGGTGGAGAATAACTAAACGTGAGAGAGCGCAGACGAGTAGCGAGTATGGCTATGGCTCGGCGTGGCTGGCCTATGGCAGCGCGGACGGACTAAGGGGACCGCATCTGGGCATCAGTGCCCTCCAGCCCCGTCCACGTGCACTTTTGAGCGGAATGAGTGGCACACTGCTGCAGCTATGGACTGTTCACCTCGCATATGGCGAGGAGGCGAGGACCAAGATCCACGGAGGTGAGTCTGCAGTTTGTCTCTCTAGCCCACTGAAACCCTGCTTGTGTATGGCCGCGTCCTCAGGCGTTCATGCATTTATGCTAGTGGATGCGGTGACCTGTACTCTGGAAAGTAGGGGACCCTAAGATCATATGTACCAAAGTCGGGATAACGCCTTGTTCACTCCTTATCGCTTAGTTGTGCCAAGCTAAGAGTTTCCTATTTCAAAAGCAATATTGGTAGCTTTATTTCCAGAATCGATAGTGAATTTTAAGGAGCATGTGCACGTGAAACCGGATCCGAGGCTGACACGCTCAACTGTTTAATGAGGCATGTCGACAGTTCGGATATGACTATGATGTGTGAACAAAGGCTGCTAGAGGTCCAATACTTCATGGCACGAGATTGGACGTTAGATCCTCAACTTTACGAAGCTTGCCACGATGAAGCTGTTAGGAGGTATGACCCTGGATTTTCTTATTATTTCCTTTTAAAAGCTGGTTTGGCAATAGAAGTACCTCAAAACAACTTGAAATAGACTATCTCGTGTTATGAGCGGTCAGTTATGGCAATAAAGGACACCGAGGTTCAAAAGTGGTGGGCTGAGCGGTTCAAGTGCTCAAGCTAGGACGGTATATAGCACGGAAGTGAAGAAAAAAAATCGAAAAAACCCACCCGAAATACCCCACATAAAACCCTATGCTGAACCGCGTTTGTAGATGCATAAGACGAAGTGAGGGCGTGGTTAGATGAGTTCTTGTTGGTGCGAGATCTTTCTCCTTATTACCTTATCTCACATTCGAAATGGAGGGAGTTAGAAGCGGAACAGCTGCGCCACAAGGTATTTGTTAGAAATAAAAGTTGGGCGCTGCCGTGGCTAGTGGAAGGGACCATGACCTCGTCGCCAGCGGGCCGCGCTTTCCTTCACGTGCGTTTGAGCTGCGGAAGTAGTACGTCCTCCCACTTGCAGATAGGACTGTCATGTTTCAATAAGGCGCATCGAATGAACGCGGACCGTGCCTTTCACCTTGTTCGCTATTGTTTT